GAGGGAGGAGGGAGCAGAGAAGCTGAATTAAAAACCAATTCCACCCCAGCACAGTCTCTGCAGGGGACAGGGGATGTAGAGGCACAGTTGAAACGGCGCAAATGGGGACTGAAGCAGTCTCCGCTCGGGGCTGGTTCTGCTGCAATTCTGCCAGGGCTCTTGTACATTTCAAAAGCTGAGGCACCCCAGGTAGTGTGGGTTCAGTGGGGAGTCCACTGCTGGCCTTGCAATCACAGCAGGGCTGCTGCTTTTGAATTGCCTGGCAGGGCATCCTTATTTACTAATCAAATAGTCAATGGAAATCTCATTGACTATTCAGTTAATCTAAATTTAATATCCTTAGTTCCAAAAGCATGGCAGTGCTAAAAAAATACTGCATAAGCATCAGTACTGTGATACCAGTGTAAATCTGGTGTAGTGGAGAAACAGGATATATTAAAAGTCTCAGAGACGTAGCCATGTTAGTCCGTAACTTTAAAAATGAGTAGTCCTGTGGCACCTTAGTGGATGTCTACACTGCAGGACAGAGTCAAACTAAGATATGCAACTGAAGTCGGAGTAGCTTAACTTAGCTTTTGGCGCTGTCTACACCACAGGAAGTCAAAGGAAGAACACTCTTCCTTCAACTTCCTGTACTCCTTGTGAAATGAGGGTTACCGGCATCAACAGGCGCGCCCCCTATCAGTTAGAATTAACGGTCTTAATTCGACTGCTGATTCGAACCCTGAAAGATTGACAGCAGCAACTCCAATCTTCCTCTGCAGTGTAAACAGAGAATGTCTACACTTGCATCCTCTTTCGAGAGAGGAATGCAAATGTAGACATTCGAAATTGCAAATGAAGCCGGGATTTAAATATCCCATGCTTCATTTACATATTCAGACAGGCGCTATTTCAAAATACCTTATTTGGAAATACAAAATGCTGTTTAAATGCAGTTATTTCGGGAGAAAAGCCTTCTTCCAAAATAACCCTTATTCCTTATACAACGAGCTTTAAGGGTTATTTTGGAAGAAGGGTTTTCTTTCGAAATAACCGCATTTAAACAGCTTTTTTATTTCGAAATAGAGCACCCTCCAGCCCAGTGGAAAGTTTGCACCTGTAGTGCCAGCCCTGGATTTGTTACCTATTCAAGGAGCTGCATATTAACTTCTGAAGAGCCGCATGTGGCTCTGGAGCCACAGGTTGGCCACCCCGATCTAGATCATCTCTGACAGACATCTATCTAACCGGTTCTTAAATATCTCCAATGATCGATAATTCCACAACCTTCCTAGGCAATTTACTCCACTGTACAACCATCCTGAGAGCTAAGAAGGTTTTCCTAATGCCCAACCTAAGCCTCCCTTGCTGCAATTTAAGCCCATTACTTCTTGTCCTATCATCAGAGGTCAAGGAGGACAATTTTTCTCCCTCTTAGGTATTTGAAAGCTACTATCATGTCTAGGGATGTTAACTGCTTTAAAAAAAAAAAAATATCCTGTTACACATTTACACTGGGGGGCGGGAAGTACTCTACTTAGGAAGGAACAATCTAGAGATGTTAAATATCAGTTAATTGAATAGTCGAGTGACCTCATGAATTCTTATCAGTTACTTAATCAGAGGCAGCAGCACAACCACAACAGGCAGCCGGTCCGCAAGGGGAACTGGTTTTAACCTGGCTCCCCTTGCGGATCAGCTTGTGTCTGGCAGAGGGCTCCTCATGAGTGAGGCTGGAGTGAACAGGCTGCCAGCCCCGCCCCCAGGAACCATAGAATAGTTGAGTAACCTTAAGAATTCATGAAGTTACTTGACGATTCAGTTAACCGATATTTAACATCTCTAGATTGTTCCTTCTGGGAGTACTTTGCATTTATCTTAAGTAAACTTCATCCTATTTACCAGTTTGTCCAGAATCCAGATCATTTTCAGATATGACTATCCTCCAAAGCACTTGCAACCCCTCCCATCTTGGTATCATCTACAACTTTGTAAGCATACTTTCTATGCTGTTATCTAAATGGAAGATATTGAACAGAATTGGTCCCAAAACTGACCTCTAACCTTTCCTCTTCTACCTCAACTCAAAGTTGACCACAAGAGAATATTTTTACAAAATTGTCAGTTATAACTGCCCAAGGATATCCTGCCCATCACACAATTTACAGAGGCAAAGTAAGTTTAGAGGGGAAAAAAAAAAAAAAAAAGAAAAAAAAAAGAGAATGTGATTGGTATCCATTGTGCAATTAGCCATCCTTTAATGTTTCTATTACAAACACAGCAAAGTGTAACCAGAGTGAACAGTACATACTCTGAGAATTCATCAACTAGTTTCCTATTTGGATTTAAAATAGGAAAGTACTAGTTTAAGGAGAATTAGCATGTTTATCTTTTCAAAATTAGGCCACTCGAATCTTGATCTTTATATAATAATTCAAATGCCACTAGTACCAATTTCTAAACAAGACTGCATTTTTACTATTCTCCAGTTAATACAGAAAACATAGTACTGAACTGACAAGTTTTGGTCAAAAAAAGCTGAACAGATTTTGAATTATTTGTATATTTAATTGCAAAGAACTCTAGATAATAGTTATAATGTACCAGGAAGCATGTGACCTTTAAAATGAATGGACTGCCACAAAGTGAACTTGAATACAGCAACAGCATTTGTTTCTAGATTTATAGACGACTTTTAGACTCTTCAGTTTTTAAGGGATTTTCTAGATCTTGATGATCATGTAGTCATGCATTGGAAATAAACTCCACAGCAGTTTGCTTTTCTTCCAACAACTCCTTTGCAGTCAGATCCATCTTATCTCGGGAGAAGTCATTAATTAGAAGACCTTCAACAAAGTTCCAGGTTTTATCCTGTTGAAAATTAGTCTGTATGAGAACAAATCTTGTATAGTCTAAAAGCAGCACCTAATTTTACAGTTTAAGTACTACAATGAAATGAGTGACAACTCTGAACACAAATGCTAATCTCTGGTCCAGAACTGGGAGAAACACGATAAATGCTTGCTCAAACTGAAACCAAGTGATGGTGTAGAGCAGATTGGTTTCTATAGAAGTCAGCTGTCATATAGTGACTAGAGTTTGCTACCTAAATGAGAAATCCCATTCTATATAAAAAGTTACAAGGTATTTTAAGTTTACTTGCAAATATTCCCAAACAAACTTACTGTGGGGAAGCAGTTCGGTGAGAGATGGACTTTTATTTTATTTATTTTTTTATAAACACATCTAACTTCTCTTTACCTTAGTAGTCATAAGAGCATTAATATTTTTCTTCAGAATTCATTTTAGAAAGGTAGTTGCAGTGTATTCTGCCTCCTCCTCCCTGCACTTCGACTATGCTTTTCTGGAGCCATCCAATACTCACTTGACAGCTCAAGCTGTGGAACAGTGAGTATATTGACCAGCTTTCAGAGGGAAGAAGTATGTTGAAAGCCTGTTTCACAGCACCAATGATCCAAATCCTAAAATGCTTCCACTGAAATCTACATAATCTCCTACTTTGTATACAAAGTCACTTCAGAAGATACTTAGTTAAACCTTGATTGATTTAAACAGTCTAGTTACCTTGATTACAACAGGGAATGAATAGAGCAAATCCTCCGGGATATCATAGGAATTTCCATCAGAAATGACTCCCATGGAAACAAATTCCCCCTGAAAACAAAGTTTAGTGATAAATAGTTCCCTCCTTGCTTACAGTGGGCACAAATTTAATTACTCTCAGAAAACTATACTAGAGAAAGTCTTGCTGCATTTGTTAGTCCCAAATGTGTAATAATATCTGTCACTCATAATTAGACCGATTAACATACCCAGTGTTACTCCAGAAGGACATTAAAACACAAGAGTTTAAAAGATTAATCAAGAGCACACCTCCATATATGTGTCAAAACAATATTCACCTCTGGAGTGCCAAACCAGATGTCCCTCACATGGTCACAGATGGCTTTGGCAGCTGACATTGCACTGGACAGCTTCCTAGCCTTAATAACAGCTGCACCCCGCTGCTGAACTGTCTGTAGTAAAGAAAAAACAACCCAAATTGGACATCTCATTTGCACATAGTCAAGAAATAACAGAAGGTTTAAGAATCAAGTGATGTCTTTGTGATCTAGTCACTACTGGAAGAATTCTGCAACACTGTGCAAGTGCAAAATTAATGTCCTCTGCAGATTCCCTCTCCTTCAGAGAATAACCAATTCTGATGGGGAACAACAGGAAGATGCATTTATACCTTTCACCCACCAGGGGGCTGATGCAGTAGCAGAAGAGAGAGCAGCTGGCTCAAGGGAGGGAGTAGCTAGGTGAAGGAGGGAAAGGTTAACTTCCTAACAATGCCCTGCCCAGGGGTACACGTGAGCAGGTATAGGTTATGGGACAGAAAGCAGGGTATGCTAGGATGCTGTGGAGGGGCATGTCACACAAATTAGAGTTCAGAAGAGTTACTAAGGGGGGCACAAAGTGACAGAGCATAGAAGCTAGAGGACTGACAATATTGAGATGGGGCAATACTCTCTCTCTCTCACTCACTCACTTCCCCCATCCATGCTCAATCCTCTAGGTTCAACTCCCATGTTTCTTCTCAGCAGTTATTTCCCTCTCCCTTAGTTTCTGTGTCTCCAAGCCTTTCCACTACTTTTGAGGGGTGTAGGAAACATGTTTATGTATCTCAGTATTAGGGATGTGAATGATAATGAACCTCACCCTTAACTGGTGAGGCTTACTGGTTCCGGTTAGCCAGGGGGGCTAGAACAGCTCCCCACCTGCCACAGGGGCCATCACAGGTGAGGGGCACTCCAGCCTGGCCGAAGCAGCCACTGTCAGCGGTGGGGAGGGGGTTGCTCCAGCTGGCCCACCCCTCCTTTTAATTGGTTAACCAGTTAAATGGGATTTTACATTCCTATTTAGTATAAATGAATTACTCAAAGTTCTGTATTAATATGCCTAGTGAAGAATTTGTCAAACGTTTCCTGAATTATTTGTTGTCTGTATTCTTGTTTGGACACACTTGATAAGTATTCTGAAATTACTTGCTAAAATAAATGAAACTGTTGTGATTGTGTTTTGACGAATATGCAGAATTTTAAAATATTGGGCACAATATTTTAATATTCTGGCACGAAATTCCCCCAAGAATAGTTGTCATGGGCGAGAGTATCTTGTATTGCCTTAGCTAAAAACACTTCATGTTGGAAAGAAAAATATTTCAGTTCAATTATGACAGATACAGTCACTCCTTGGCAGGATTGTAATACCGAAGTAGAACAGAGACTAGAAAAGTTCCGCAAGCATTAAGGCCAACACTACTGCGGGTGGGAAGCTTGCACTGCTACGTTTCTAGCCTGTTCCACTGGGCTGTCAACACAGCATCTTTCAAAAGCACCAAATTGATTCAAGTGTCACATACATCAGGTGACCTGTACCACTTTCAGTTCATTGAAGGTTTTTTGATGTCTATAGGTTAGGCCCTATTTAAACTGCAGGATAACTGTCAAATAATTGTAGCTTAGTTTCAGACAAAACATGGAATATTGTGGGAAAAAAACCAATAGTGTACCTTTATTATTTGCAGTAATTTGGAAAAATCTGATCCCGCTGTCAGCTGCCCACCTAACAAAATTGCAGTGAAAGCCTAATACAGTAAAACTCCATTGGTCCGGCATCTGATGGTCCGGCACTCCTGATGGTCCGGCACCATCAGGAACCTGGAAGTGCTCCGGGCAGCTGGACCATTGGAGCTTCTCTGCCCCCAGCTTCCGATTCAGCCGCTGCGGAAACTGACCAGTGGCTGACTCGGGGGAGCCGGGGGGGGAGCAGCTCCAATTGTCCGGCTGCCCGGAGCACCTCCGGGTTCCAGATGGTGCTGGACTATTGGATGCCGGACAACTGGAGTTTTACTGTACCTGGGGGGGAAATCCTAGACCTATTGGAGTCAATGGAAAAACTCCCGACTTCAGTAGGGTCAGGATTTTACATTTGACAGTTTTTTTTAAATAATAATTTAAGCTTCCAGAAATGTGAGAATGGCCCAAGAAAAATATTAGCTAATAATTTACAAGTTGTATAAACTAAAAACACTTATTTTGTCAATTATTATGGTTGGATAAAATAATAATGAGCTAACTGAAGCACAGCTTCCCGATTCAGCTGCTGCAGAGCAGACTATCAGAAGGGGGGCTATGAAGGGTCTGGGGTGGTATCCCCCCCCACACCACCCTAAACCCCTCATAGCCCCCCTTTCTGATAGTCTGTATCTGATAATCCGGCATCCCCTGGGTCCTAAAGGTGCCGGATTATCGGAAGTTTACTGTACTGTGAAATCTGTGACTTCTGCAATATTGCATGTTAAGTAGGGACTTACATATAGGTTAATTTATAGTATAAATTGATAGTTTAGAGGGCAGCTAAAGACAAAGATGATCTGCTTATCAACCTTTGTGTCCCACAAGTTATTACATTAAATCTAGATCTAATGAACTGGATCCAGAGCAATTACAAAATCATGTGAATAAGACATACCAAAATATCACAGAACCCTGTTTCCACATTTACTAAAATAAAGTGTACATAGACAACACACACACACACACACATACACACACACACACACACACACACAGAGAGAGAGACAGACATACACATGCAATATTTTTAACAGCCAAAATTTGTTCAGACTCTGTTCAAAGACCCTACCTAATCTCATAGGAAGCGAGCCCTACAAGTATGCCCTATTTGAATTCTTAATATCTCCCCCTCCTCCACGAAAAAACCCCCCACCACATACACAGACCATACCCAGGAGCAATATTCTTTTCTCTTTCATCCATGTGCACCAACATATGTGCAAATACGCACCACCACCAACAGAAACAAAAAACCTAGCTATGGGTGCTAATCAGCGGGGCAGCTGCAGAAATGCACATCTTACATGGAACATTGACCCTGAGGGCCTATCCCAATAGTGTGCAACAGACCAGAGTCAAGGATCCAGCAATAGAAGCTCTCTTGTTTATTATATGCTCACAGTGAAGGTGCTGGATTCCCTAGACTTAACTGGGGGAGGGAAAAGAGAGACTTCCCTCAACCTTATAGAGCAAGCAAAGGGCCCTTTTTAAAGTCAAGCATAACAATCTGCACCCAGAAACAAGCTAGAAGGTAGCATAAGCAATTACAATTCTTTATGAGAAGCACTCTAACTCAGTCAAACCAAAGAATTCTTAGTTAGAAAATGGTAGTTTTACTTTTATATATTTATATTTTATATATATATACACACACACACACACACACACACACACACACACACACACCCACCCCCCCCCCCCCCCACCCCTCTCCAAAAGTGATGATCAGGCTATCCAGAAGAGCCCTGAATTCAATGGAATAGAATTACTGAAAAGTGAACTATCCTCTCCCTGCAGAGGCTAGAATACCTGATAACACCCAGAGGTAGCAATTTTGACTCCTGACATGAGCTGATCACTGTGGTTGATCATTTCAACAAAAAAAAAAAAAAATCCAGATAGTTAAGAGTTCTCAGAGAGGAAGCACCACAGGAACAGGACCACAAGCTTTAAAGTTATGAACATCTGATTAATCTGACAAGCTATTTGAAGACAAATAATTTTAGTAGGCCTAAAGATCTGCTTTGCTAAGGTTTCCCGTAAGATTTCCATTGTGTATAATATTATTAATACTAGTGTTTTACACTGAGTCAGAACTAATCTAACAGGAGCACAATGTTGTCCACTTGCATTGAGGGAGCACTAACGGAAAGAAAGTCTTACCGTGATGAAGTCACCCTTCAGCCAGCTGTCGTCTTTTACAGCTTCATAAACTCCAATTTCCTTTCCTTTCACCTTTACCTTAGCATGGTTAACATCTGGATACTGAGTGGAGGAATGATTCCCCCAGATGATGACATTCTTCACATCATTAGCAGATACACCAAGTTTCAGAGCAATCTAATTTGAATTTAGAAAAAAATAAGATATGGAACATACCAATTTCAGCTTCTCTTTATGTGTTTAGTACATCTAATTTTAGCAGACTTTTTGAAAAAGCTTTAAGTTTAGACATATCAGAGGGTATTCTAGCCCTGGATGGATTCTTCCTACCTGGGATTTAGCTCGGTTGTGGTCCAAACGAGTCAGACAGGTGAAGTTTTTCTTTGGTATTGAGGGAGCAGACTTTGAAGCAGTCAGGCAGTTGGTATTTGCTGGATTTCCTACCACCACAACCTAGCAAGGCAATGAAAGGGAGGGGGGCCGGCGGGGTGGGGGGGTGGCGGGGGAGGAAAGGAGGGAAAAAAAAAAAAAGTCAGCTTTTCAGCTAAGCTACAATTTCTGCAAATTCACTTCCCTCAGCTGGATAACACACAACATTCATTGTTTGTAAAGAAAAAGCTTTTCTCCAAAGAAGCTGTCATGAAAAACAAAAAACCTCTCTGCTTTAAATCCCAAACTTATCATATACAATCACTAATTTAGAGTCCTTTATTAAAAATTAATACACCCAGAAGATATAAATATAGAATCACAGAACCACCATTCTTTTTAAATGTTTCTTTACAAGTGCCCCTATAGTAAAGGGGAAGATCAGTATTTTGGATGTCTACACTGCTGACCTTTCGTCTAGTTCTCCCCCTGCCCCCCACACACAAAAAAATCCTCCCAAACTCTTAATATAGTCAGAAGACTATACATATAAACTAGTTAGCTCTTTGTTTTCTGCTCTCCTCTCTCACAGTAAAGTTTACTATTAAGGTAGTACTAGTAGATTACATTGTTTTAACGTGATCATAATTATGAGTAAAGCAACAGTTGCCTATTTGAAGAAAGATGCTGAGCCTCAAATTAAAGTCACCCCCTTTTATTAATATGGACAGAACAGATTACTTTTTCTTCATCTATTGGAGGCTCTATGGAGCTTGATACTATCTAGTGAGCTGATCTAGAACTTTCCTTTCCTTCTTAGTTAGCTTCCCATTACTCTAATAGTTGGTGCTAATTTTTATTTAAACTGTAGGAAACACTGAATAAAGCTGTAGGCCCAGCAGAAAATTCATCAGCATAGGAAGTAGATATTGAAATCAATTACAAAGCACAGTGGGAGCAGGAGTATGAGATCAGGAGCTGTGGGAGGAAAACCACCAGATTCTATTCAGTGCCTGAACTACTGGTAAGAGAAAACACACACACCCAAAAAAAAAAAAAAGTTTTAAAAAACCCCTCTCAAATACTGACATTAAAAAATGAACAACCTAAAACAAAAGACTATTTTCATTTTATGTGACTTACTTGACTGATACTGAAGTCATTAAATGAAAGCTACAGGTTTCTATTTCAGATGAATCAATTCTGCATAGTTTCATCTGCCTATGAGATTATGGAGAGAAGGACCATCTCTCCTCACTCTACTGCTCCCCACCTCTGAAGATTAACTGAAGGACACTACACACTCTTACTTCTAAAATGGTTCATCATCTTGTAAATGAGGAGAAATGATGAGACTAGGATCATTCCCTAGATCAGCTAGGGGATCTAACTGGAGGTCTCCCCTTAGGCTTTGTCCAATATAAAGCATCTGAGATTTGATAAGAAAGACTTCCATAAAACAAAATTTGTCCTTTTACTACATCTGTATTCCACTACAGTTCTTTGGATCTTTAAGCTGCTTGGTTAAGAGTTTCCAATTAAGAAATGAAATACAGTTTCTGTAAATCACCTTGACAGTCTTCTTGGCATACTTGTCCAAGGCTGCACCCTGGGATTTAAATATTTTCACATTTGCTTTGAGTAGCTCTTTCCTCTCCATGCCCTCTCTCCTTGGCATGGAACCAACCAGAATGGCTACATCAAGGTCTTTAAATGCAACCTCCTCTTTGTCTGTTGCAATGACCTCTGTAAGCAAAGGAGGGAAGAGACAGAATTAGTAACAGAGCAATCTTTGAGTTTTCTATGGCTCATTGTTCACCGCTTAAACAGAAGTGATCTGAACAGATGTGCAGCCATAACAAAGAAACACCCAGAGAGCAGATGCCCACACTTACTAGTTTAATCATGGTTTATTGTAAAGAAGAACAGTCAGTGGAGTATTGGCAGCTTCCTAACATGAATGAACTGTGTATTCTCATTTGTTTGCCTGTATCTTTTGATGTACCCTATACAAAGTAGGCATACATACCTCCCAACCCATGTAATGGCATCAAATTTTTGTATATTATGTAAATGAGTTTTTCCTCAATAGCCAGTAATATTAATTCACACTGGAGAAGACTGACTAAAACGACAATGTCTGGGAAATTTTATCAACCGATCAATGATCATTTGATTTACTGATCAACTACTATAATCAGGGCTCGCCTAACCACGGTGAGCCCCGCTCGCCAGCCGCGCTATCCGGCGATCTGCGCATGTGCAGATCGCCCGAACCCGGCTCTTCTGGGTTACTATCTACTCGCATGGGCAAGTAGATTGTATTATTTGTCGAGCTCTGACTAGAATAACTACAGCACTGCCCATTAGCTCGCTTTTTTCCACAAGAGATTATGCTTGAGAATCCATAGCTTGTTAGACAAGTTGATCAAGCCATTTTTCAATTTTGTCTTCATTTTTTCAGTGGTTTTATAGGTTTTTGTAACCTTCTCAGAAAAAAGCACTGGCATGAAAAATAAAAGCTACTTCACTTCTTGGCTGAGAGGCCTATCATGATACAATAGTACAAGCAGCCAACTGTTTGCCAGATATATAACTCACTTCTTATATATAACTTTTAACGGTTAAATAGTATAGGCCAGCAGTTCTAAACTTTAGCAACCTGAAGACCCCCAATTAGATTTTTCAGGGACTCTCTGCCCTGTCTCACTCAATGCCCCCTCCCTCCGTTGCTTACTCTCCCTGACCCCCTAATCCCTTTACTGGGCTTGGACAGAGGCGTGGGAGGGGATGAGGTCTCCTGCTGGGAATATGGGTTTTGGGATAGGGCCAATGATGAAGAGTTTGGGGTGCAGGAGGCGACTCTGGGCTGGGGCAGGTCCCATGGCACACGGGCAGTCAGTGAGGCTCCATGTGCCTGCCCTCATGCATGCAGCTCCAATTGGTCACGGTTCCTGGCTAATGTGGATGGGGGAGGGGGAGGGGCGGGGACTACGACCTGTGCAGAACCAGGGCAGGTACGGAACCTGCCTTAGCCCTCTACTGTGCTGTTGAAAATCAGATGCCCGGCAATTCTAACAGAACCTCTTGCACATTGTTGAATAGCTGTTCCCTGGCATGCAGGAGGCACTGGAAGGAAAGGGGAAGAGTTCATCAGCAGGACCTCCAGGGGTCCACAGACCTGTTTGAGAAACATTTGAACAGACCAAACTCCCAGATATTATGTATACAATGATCATTTTTGCATATGCAAGTATTGTAGGTGACACACAAACACATTTAAAAAGTTGATCCTATTTCTTTTACTGTTTGCAGTTTATCAAGCTAAGTTAACTTTCAGAAAGCATGTATTTCTTTTGGTCACCTCTCAGCAGTGGAAGGGCACAGTCTTGTAGTTCCATCATTACTCCATCCAACACAGTCATCATGGGAGTGATATCCAGCAGCATAAGAACAAGAGGCTGAGAAAGAATGCATTCTGTAGCGTGAATGAAGTAATTTAAAAGCATATTGAAAAGTGTAAGCTCACTCGTTTTTTCATTTATTTCATCCTGCAGCCAGAATGAAATTAGACCTTTTGGAAGAGGTGGGAACATTTAAACAGCCCATTTACTAAGACAGAGTGACTAATGGCAGCATTACAATTCTGCACTGAATGCGTACAAAAGCATAATGCAGAACAACTCGAGGCTTCATTTCTTCTCTTCAGGCTCACTGCACATTCAGAATAGTAACTTATGTCTTTGTATGACATGTGAAGGCTCATAGTAAAAACTTAACTTCAAGTTTATCTAGGGACTCAAGAGATTTTAAAGACTGTAGCACTGAATTCAGTTTCTTTATTACAGTTGAATAAGACAAGGGATAGTTCAATTCAACTGAAGATCAAGTTTATTACCTGTTCTTTGCCAAAGACATCACCCTTGGCTATGCTGTAGAGCAGAGAATAGGCGATCTGACCAGCAGCTCCAGTCACAAGGACTCTAATTGCTTCAGACTGTAAAAGAAATAGACTCAGCTAACACACTGCTGGTAATACAGTTTTCCCTGATTAGAGAGCCAGTAAACATTTTCAGCAGTTATTGTAGAAATAACATTCAAATCTTTAATATTTCTGGATCCAAGCATGTACAAAACCTAGCACATAGTCAATTCCTAGCACATAGTCAAAACTCCAGCTGGAGGTGGGGTGATGTGATGATGTCATTTTGTCATCCCACAGGAAAAGGTTTTAATATAATCTACATAGATAGAGAGACCACATTAGGGGCTCTACCTTTCGACAGGAGACATGCTAAGTTTAGAGATTCATTAAAAATCCTTGCTATTGGGCTTGCAATTTCATTAACATTTTCGGTTGGAGATTCTAATCTTGCTGATTTAGTCCCATTAAGCTATTTGAATCAGTGGAAATGAGAAGCTAGAAGTTGACTTCCACATTCTCATGTGGTAATTTCTATCTCTAACTCCAAGCTTATTGGAAATACTGTAGAAGTTTCAGGAGATAGTCAAAATATGCATCTTGGAATTGCATCATACTAAAGACTGCTCTCATTACAGAAATTTGTAGATTTACTTGCAAGTGTATATTGGTAGAATACTGCAAACCTAATTATCTGGTGGAGCCATGAATAAAACACCAACCCATGTAGTAGGGGTATCAGTGTGTAGTCGACTACACGATTGGATTAACCAATAAAACCAAGTTTATCAATTAATCCAATCAACTACACACATTCCCCCCATCCACCTTGTTTTAAGATGGCTTCCCATGAGCATCAGATCCCGCGGAGCTGCCTGTTTCCCACGGATG